TTAGAACTCAGCGCACAGTTGCTGTTGTTATTACGATTATTGATGTTGTTTTAGTGCTTGTTGAGTGGCCTGCTGCCTGAGGCTAGGGAATTGGGAGTATAGAGTGCCAAAGGCTTCAGTTGCTAATAGCAGTTTAAATGAAACTCAATTTGATAGTAGATTTTTCAGCAAACGAATTTTTAAATATATAATTTGAAGATGCAAAATTTCAAAATTTTCAAAAATTTAAAAATTTTCAAAATTTTCAAAATTTATTTATATTTAATTTTATTTATTTATAAATATATGTATACAATTTTTATGAAGCTATCATGTGGAATGTTAGCAAAAGAAAAGCGCTAAAGATTCGAATGCCTTTGACAAAAATCGAGTCGGTTTAAGCATAGTTAGACACATTTGAAGTGAACTAATAGACTTGAGTCTTCTCTTAACTAATACAAAGATGAAAATTGATATCAATCTAAACTTAAGTCACTTCAAATTAGTTTTCATACTAATTGCGATAAATACTATTGAGATTCAATACTTTTCGAACTTGAGCCAGTGCCATGTTTCTTCAAAGACCATTTCAAAGAGCCCAAGCCCAGAAACATATGCTTTCCTAGGACTAAAGTCCCATGAATTTTGGTAAAGTTAATTAAGCTTAAAGTTAAAAACGAATTCAAAAGGTATTCCTGCTCTATTTCACCTACTGCAGCTCTCCATTAACTAAGAATTTTGTTTAATTTTAGATTTTTAATACAAAAATCTCTAATCAAATTAATATGATGCAATGCGTGTTTCGCTTAAATGCTAACAATTATTTTTAGCTTAAGCGCGTAGCATGGGACACTGCACACACACACACAGAATACAGAACCCTAACAAATAAATGTACAATATTTCTTAACAGTTGACTTGGCAGCTAAATTTCCAACAATTTCTGCTTAGCGTGCTCATTAGTCGAGAAATCTCATTAGAAACTAATGAAGGTGCGTTGGCAATAACAACACACACACTCACACACACACAGCTGGTTAAATTGGACATTATTTAGTATTGGACTTTGACTCATTATGTTAAATTTTTATACATATTTTGTACCCATTTTTGCTAAGTTCGCATGTCGCTGTTGATTGGAGAAACGGCGAACCAGAGTCAAAAATTAATTTGGCCAGCGAGAAAGGGCGAGCGAATGCGAACAACTATTTCCATCCCGTTTCGACACTAAATTTTTTCTATCAAATATTATTTGTACAATAAACTAAAATGAGTGACTGTATGTGTGTGTGTGAGTCAGTGTGAGTGTGTGTGTGGGTTCCATCCCCCAAGCGTATGTCCGTATGTGTGGCTGTGTGGCATGATAAAATAAAAATACGAAAAATGTGGAAAAAATACAAGAAAAATTAATAATGAAACACACACACACACACGCTTAGAGACAAGGACAAGCATGTGAGTATATAAATATGTATGTGTTCTGCCCATATATACACAAGCAGCCCATTTGCGTGCGTGTGTGTGTGTGTGTCGGTGTGTGCTGGTTATTTTGGGCAAGGGCGGCGCAAATAATAATCATTTTTATAATAATGCAAGTGTATCTCAGCCAAGTTTCTGTCTTCTGTGTGTGGGCGGGTTGGTGGGGGTGATGGTGAGAAGGAGAAGGTGATGGGGTTGGGCGAGCAGCGATCGTCAGCGGCATCGTTATCTGCCACACAAACAGCCAACCCCTAAAAGTATGCAGCAAATACTTTCGAGCGCACAAGTGAAATCTATCGCACAAATTTTCACAAACTATACGAAAAAGTAAGCGGCAGCAGCAGCAACAACAAAAATTCCATAAATTTTTGCTGCTACGCTTTCCCACTCATTTTCACACACACACTTACAAGCACATGCAGAGGGGAAGTTTGCAATTTTATCACACACTCACTCATACACATAGAGACACATTCCCCCGCTCCACACTTCCCATTGCAGCGACTTTATGAAACCATCAAATTATTTTCTTTTCCATTTCTGACACTCAAAAGAAACGCAAAGAAAGCAGCAGCAGCAGCAGCAGCAGCCGCCGCAGCTGAAGCAGCAGTAGGTGAACAAAAAGGGAATTACATGCTACGGCGCAAAAGTAGTTGGGCCAAAGGAGGCAAAAATATTATTTTCCAGTTACGCTCGTCTCCGTCTACGTCGCCATGGCACATCCTTTACATTACTTATTTTTTTTGCTTTTCTGCTGCTGGCTCAAAGTTTGTGGCCCCCACACTCGCTCTTTCTTTCTCTCTCTCTCTGCTTTGCCCACATGCCTTGCGGGTTACTTTTTCCATCTCTGTTCGCTTGTAAGTGTGTGCGTGTGTGTGAGTATGTTTGTGTGTATGTGCAGCTACTTCGTCTTATTCGAGTACGAAATTTTTATGAGAAAATGCCTGCCAGCTCAACTGCTGCTGGTTGAAGTATCTGTATGTGTGTGTGTGTTTACTTGAATACCCAGTCGGAAACAGATGCATGAAAAAGGTAGTACTTCATAGCATGCTTCAGTTGAACTCATAGAAGTTTACAGAGTAAGCTAGTTGTTATTTTTGCGCTGTTTTATGCAATGTAAAATCTGTATAAAAAGGTTAAAGCCACTAGGTCAGACAGCAAGGAAGCAGCTAAAAGGCTTTAATTTTTCTGTGTCTCCATAGCTTACGCACATATATGCCCCACATATCTTAAGTTCATATCCTTTCACAACAGCAAGTAAACACTATTCCTTCGGTCCCACTGGGCAACTGATAATCGTCTGTGTGTGAGCGTGGGCCGAGTTATAAGCCTCAACTGTGCTGTATATCAAAATATTTAAAAGCAAATATAATATTGGTGGGCTAAAAGGCACTGGGGAAATGGAGAAAAATGGGCAAGCCATAATAGAAAAACACTTAAGCAGCCCGCCCAGTGGTCGAAACTGAGTGGGGCGGGGGCCCGACTGGCGCCTTGCGCTATGCTCTATATATACGGGAAAAAAATATCAAAAGGCATACAAAATGTAAAAATATTAATAATGAGCCAAGCGACGGCGCAGAGCAGTTGCCCAAAGGCAACAACAACACAGCCAAATGAGAATGTGGCGGAAAAATTGTGGAAAATTTATTGATTTTGACTTTGAGAGGAGAGCGCAACAAAAACCCAAAAACAAAAAAAAAAATAAATAAAATAAAGTAAAATGAATGGCAGAACAGCGCAGGCTATAAATGATTGGCTGAATGTTTATCAGGCTCACACATATATATATATATATATATATATACATGTATATACGTGTGTATGCATTATAACGAAATTGATTTCGATCTTATCTTGCTTATCGTTGAAATTTTTATATTTTTATTGGCATTCGCATTAAAAATACTTAATCTCACAGCGAAGTTATTATGGCAACCACCCTCTGTGGCTCCAATTGGGGTGTTGCGCTGGGGAGGGCAGCTCTTTAATAATGTCCATATCGAAATTTTACTTTATCGCGATTTTCGCTTGCTGCCTCTTTTTTTTTGTTTTTAGTGTGCGTCGTTCGTAATATTATTATTATTTCTATGTTATTAGCACCCGTAGGGCTCTCATGGCGTATGCGTAATGCGCGATAAAACGCGCGCGCGTCTGTCTGTGTGTGTGACTGTCAACTAATGAGACTTTTTAATAAATTGCCCCACCATTTTTAGTACAATTTTCATTATTAATAAAACTTTATGACATATATATCAGACGTATGCGTTGTGTAAATGTGCGTTTGTTTAATAAAACAGAATCAGTTGATAAGCGTGACAGACTAGGCTATACCCTGTAGCCAACATAAGTGTATCTGTCTTGACTAAATAATTATCTGCTTAATGTCTTTGGCTTTAGAATATTTAGTTTTAATATTATAAAAGTTAGATTAAAATGAAAATAAAAAATTATAGCCTATTGTTTAGATAGCAGAGCTACCTCAAGCCTTTACATAATATTTGGACAGCCTTTTAACTGTTTCTTATGTTTACAGGGTATTAAAAAGCACAAGCACACAAAATTTATGAGTCCAATTAAATTTCATAAGTTCCCCAACTGTGTGTGTGTGTGTGTATTTGTGTTTGTGTGCGTCATGTCCATGTCAAAGCGCGATGTGCATTAGAGCGCCTAAAAGCTGATTGCTACAAAAAAGGGAAATAATTACCATTGAAGAATTTATGGTCAAAAAACCTTTTAAATTTACTGTCTATACTAAAGGATGAGAATGTTATTAAATGGGCATATGTTTATATAACAAAGGAGAAGGCGCTAAAAAGTGAAGTATACAAAAGAATTGATAGCTAAGCTATACGCTATGGGCGACAAGTAAACCTTCTGAGGTAGATATATGCATATAAAAGCATATCTTTTATATATATTCTAGAAAGAAACTTCATTCTCACAATTATATTATTTAGTGTTTGTTAAAATTCCTAAAAATATTATCAGTTTTAACTGCCCCAAATACAGAATAATTCAATTACTTTTACTTTAAAAGTTGTAATTGAGTTTTCAGCTGTCAGCCTAAAAGCATGCAATATTTTTTAATTTATATGGGACTATGGGGTATATTGGTATATTGTTATATATGTATATAGGTATATATGTATATCTATTTAACATAGATATTTATTGTGCGTTAACTTCCTGCAAGTGCTTAAAACCAATTTGAAACTTTTAGATTGTTTATATTTCAGCTAGAAATTAACGTCACTTATGATTTACTAGGGGATCGTAGCATATATAAGCATTAAGCAATACAGTTCATATATTTTTGCCAATTCGTAAAGCCAATTGAAATTTAGTTTTTTATTTTTTTTGCCAATTTAAATTTAGATTCTTTTTTGAGTTTTTTTTTTTTTTTTTGAAGCAAGCAAATTTGTTTATAGCGCATAATTTGACTAGGGCTTAACTGCGGTTCTTCGGATTATAATATTATATAGGTTTTTTATTGTATTGTTGTTGTTATTGTTGTTGTTGTAGGCTTTAGCTGTGGAACTCACAATGTCTCTAGTCAGAGAGCGCACCTTAATCCTACGTGTAAACTTATATGAAAACAAACGCGCAACGTTACGAGTTTTGCGATTCTGATCGGAATCAGTTTGTTAAGCTTCATTATGTTAAACAAAAGGACGATAGCTAATACAATTTGCAACATTTGTTTTCTTTTTAAATTTTGGTTATGATTTTTTTATTTATTTTGTTTACACTTTAGATTTGATATATATATTGAAACACTTGCTTGGCCCAGCACTTGATCAGTGTTATTTGGCTTATAGAAATCCTGCGACACGTTTTTGTTTTCTTTTTGGTATTTAAAAAACACTTTACGTTCACTGAGATTGGCTTTAAATTTTAAATATTTCATTTAGCTGTTGCTGCTGCTGCTTGTTTGTTGTTGTTGTTGTTGTTGAAACTTACAGAACTTGTACAGGGCGTTTCACTTATTTATCATACCGACAAGTCTAGCACGCCGTTGTGGTGGCCACGCGCGGCTACTTCTGCACCACGTACGCGTTTTCTGTAGACTGAATTTCGATTTGGACACAGCCTGTCGCCGCGTTTGCCCTAAAGGATGCACACTACTCCCACACACAGAAAGACGCGAGAGAGAGAACCGAGCCAGTGCACGAGAGAGTCGAACGAAAACCCACCACCAGCGGCAGCAGCAGCAGCACCATCATTACCGCCACCACCACCACCTACAGCTCCCCCAACGGATATTCGAACATTTGGCGGCGCTCTGTTGCTATTTTGTTTACCTTCGTTGTGGGGGCGATCGACTGCAGTAGGCGTGCCGCTGTACTAAAAACATATAATCGTGAGGTAAAGTCTCAAATTTAAAGAATATTGTAGCATACTTTTAGGCAGATTCATAAATTGAAATGATTTTCAAGTATTATATATATATGGCTTATTAACTACTCATAAGATGACATATCTATATATATTTATATAGCGCGCCCACTTGATGGATTCGCTACACACACATAGACATACTCGCACACACAGGAGTGACACCCTCAGCACATGGAACATGCGCACTGGCAAGATGCTCTCTGAGAGTTGTTTCGCTCGTCCACTCCACAGTTTTTTAATATACTTTATCAACATATCGCAGTCTCTGATAAAACAATCATCGTTTATGGTGCAACACGCTCAAAGTAAATGCCACACACACACCAACTCACATGCTTAGCTCACAGCATGATTGAGATATTGTGCCTACCCCGCTGTAGTACCCAGCGGGGGTGGTTAAACTCAGCTCGACTCGCGCGTCAAGTCCTCTGACAATAGCCAAACTGGGTTAAATTCAAATGCAAAAAAAAAACTATATAAAACCAGCCCACAAATATGTGTAATGATTCTTAAATAACTCCCTGTAACAAACCCAGCAACTTGCCACCAATACTAATACATATACAAATGCGTTTGCGTATGCGTAACCTGCGTGCGGCTCGTTAAAAGCGGTCCAAAAAGTTTTCTTTTATAGGGGAGCAGCCAAATGAACGCCGGAAATGACAAGGCATAGTTTTCGCATTTCTTTTAAACTATAAACAAAACTAAAAACGCGAGCAAACAAAAAAAATAAATAACTAAATAGGTTAAGATTGAAAGACTACCACATACCCTAGCTATAATATTTTCCTTATGGATAAAAACAATTTGTATTTCTTTATAAATTAATTATATGAAACTTTTATTACTAATTTTTAGTGTTATTTACGTTTTTAAATTGTAGAAAAAGTTTTTGCTGTGAATACTCATATCATATAAAAAATATAACATCATTTTTATAATAAGTATCAGCAAACAGATTTCTGTAATTTGTAAAAACTATAGAACTAACGTCTACAACTTTCTCTGCAGCCTTAAACACGCATCGACCTGTTCTAAAAATGTTTGTTTACAGGGTATATACATGAAGGCAAATCAAATATGCGCTTAACACGATATATTCAAATTTTCTGTGCGTTCGCTTGGTACCTATTTTATTTGAGTTGTTTTTGTTTTTGATATTTTTTATATGCCATATAATTTGGCCATATACTAAGCGAGTTTTCAATAACAATCGCTGCGCCGAGTCGTTTATTTGTCGCCCTTGCTGCTGCTTGAGCTCTTGCGCTGGCGGTGCTGTAGTAGCTCCTGGTATTGCTCTATGGAACCATCCTCATGCTTGGAGGTAAATTGTTGCTGTTGCTGCTGCTGCTGTGACGACGACTTCTCATCGCTGCCTGACTTTGAATCGTTGCGCTTTTGAGCGCGATTCGATTTCTTGATTTTATCACGCACGCGCTTGCCCAGCCGCGAGGCGGCTAGCACCTGACTGACCTTGGAGCTCTTCAGATAGCGTGTGCGCCACGACTGTCACAAAAGTGGAATAAATTGAGTTTAAAGTGAATAGTTTACTGTAAAGATATATATAAATATTACCTCTGAGTTGGTTTCCTGTAGCTTTTCGTGATCATCGTCGCTGGTATTCAGCAATATGACATCATTATCCTCCTCATCAGGCTCGTCTAGCTTCTCGGGCTCCTCACTTTTGACTTTGATAGCTGGCTCATCTGCTACTGTGGCCAGTTCCTCAATCAGTTCCGAATCGCCTCCTATTGAAATGACATCGTCGTTCTGATCCTCATCATCTACGATGGGCTGCTCGACTGTTTCTTTTGCTGTAATATTAGCTTGTTCAACAACTGCGACAGGTGTAACTTCAGCTGTGGTTACATTTTCTGTTGTGGCTTCAACTACTTTTAGTTCTGCTACTTCTTTAGGAGCTTCAATCTCAGTTGGCTGCTCCTGCTCAATTGGAGCTGCTTGCTGCGCTTCAGCTTCAGTTTCACTGTCCTCTCTCACCTCGCCCTCTTCAGGTTCGCTTTCTACAGCTGGTGCTACGGCAGGTGGCTCTGGTTGCACATCAGCTACTGCTGCTGCTACTGTTGCTGTTGGGATTGGCTCCTTTGGCGGCTGCTTGCTTTCATCATCAGTGCTATCACTGATGAGCAGTGTCTCTGGCTCAGCTGGTATTGGTATTACATCCGGTGAGGCTGAACGCGAGTTGTGTAGCTCCAGAACCTGCTCAGCCTTCGTTTCAACTTCTTTGGAATTGCTAACGATTTCCTTTTCCGGCGATTTAGTTGACGTGCGATAGTTGCGTTTTAGCTTAATCTTTTTCTGAGGAGCTGCATCTGATTTTCCATTGGTGTTGCCATTGGTATGTGGATGGTCATGAATCTTGGTTGCTTTGCTTGTTGCAGACTCGTTCGACTTTCGCTTGTGACTGCGCTTTTCCTTATCTGACAGCTTCTTGGACATCTCCTCCTCATCATCATCCGACTTCACCTCGATCTTTGTTATGGGCTCCATGGCCAGCTGAGAACGAATAGCACGCGCTCTCGCCTGGAGTTCAAGCAACTCCAACACACTAATTTGTCCATCCGCTGAGTGAAAATGAAGTATTGAAACATTATAGTTGCTTCAGTTAGAGTAGGCAGTTGTTGCCATTCAGTATTTGATTTATATTTTTCAACTTACGTTCCTTATTTTCATTGATTTTATCGGCTCTTTTAGCGCTTGATTTCCGCAATTTATTAGCTGCAAAAATTTTTTAAATTCACGCAAAAGCATTTAGTTAAAATTTAAATTGACTGCACGCCATGGCTGCGATGAGAGCTGGAGTTGATAACCTGAACCTGACAGAACAGGAAGATCAACTAGAACTAGAACGGCCCGAAAGTGAAGTTGAGTCCGAGAAGTTTACGATACGCCTTAATGGACAAAAGGATTTGGAGCAAAGGCTCCGCGAATTCAAGGCTGCCTGCGATGCCCACGAGAAACATGCACGTAGGCGCCGAAAGCGTCGCTATTATCACATGGGTCTGCTGGCCAAAGTCGTCATGGAGACGACTCACGAAGAGCTCCGTCGCATGCTTGAGCACGGTACCTACACATTTCACGTAGATATGGTTGCCTTCAAGCCAGACGAGCTAGTCACCATACTAGAAACCCTAAACATAGCCATTTCCGCACATGCGGATGAACGGGAACTGCGCACAGTGACGGGTTTGGCTCTTGAGATAAATGGCGACTGCTGTCGCGTAGGCCGGTTGCGCAACAACTGCACAACGATGCTGGCACGTGGTTCGGTGGTGACGCTAACAACAAATGAGGCGTATCGATATGCTGGCTTCCGTGAGATCGTGTACGTTATTAATCTAAGCGCCTATCTCAGCTCAATAAGGCTTAATGACGTGTTGCTAATTGGACGCGAGGTTCGCTGCCGTGTGGTCAAAACACTGAATGAAGCGGTGGCCGTGCTGATCATCGACGCGGGTATTTTGTCCTCGTATGACTTCATTGAGCTGCCTCGCCAATGCCATTCCTTGGCACCCAGTCTATACCCACAACTCTATCAAGCTGATCTGCAAGCGGCCGCAGCCCTTAAAGCCAACTTTGTGGTGCTGCCCAAGATTCGATGTAAATCGTTTCTTCGCGCAGTACGAATGACAATTACGACTGAATTTGATATGAAACTGATTGGCTGCATTGACTTTGAATATGTACGGACCAATATGCTCGATTTATTAGGCATTATCAAGTTACTGGACTATATTTGGATACCGGATATGTTTAATGTGAACTGCTGTGTGTACAACTATATCATGGAGGATGCTCTGCCCATCGCACAGTGCCAGAAGAAACCGGTCATTGGCACAGTGCCGTTAGAGCGTTGCAACGACTTCAAACGGTTTGAGCTACACGAGTTCCTCTGGAAGATTGACACGATACATATGCAGAAGAGTCCGTGGTGCAATAAGTATCCGTTGATTGTTAAGAAACTGATGCCTATTCGAGATTATCGTGTGGGTGTCGTCCAAACACATCAACAGGTGAAGAGCATATTGACCTCCTATCAGACAATTGTTAACTTCATCATACGGACGATCGCCACGATCGAGTGTCAAGCGATATTTGTGTTTACCAAGTGCGAGACGGCGAGTGTTGCGCTTGCGCGTTCAGAAATTTACTGTCCGGTTTATCTGATGATGCCGTTAAATGATGACGACGATGAATTCACCATCAAGTGTAAATTCGATTTGGCCCGCGCATTGCATCTGCGTCGCAACACGCATCCTATTATTTATACGCCCGATCTAAACGAGTGCAACTATAGCCCTATTGAGTTCGGCGTGGATTACATGCGACGCAAAGGCTGCCTGGAGGTGGGCGACTTTGTGGTCACCTTGGAGGTGGGCAAGGAGGATGAGGAAAACATTGTATTGGGCATTGGCGAGGATGTGTGCATACTGCGCGCGTTCTACGTAGCCCCAGTATTCAATTGCGAAAAATTTAAATATGGCACATGAGATCTGTGTGCAAATTCATTCATGACGTGCAGTTGTACAGATACATTTCTGATGATCAATCAAAATTAAATGTATGTAAACTCGCATTTAGGTGTTTAAAGAATGGGTTGGGCGAAGATGAGAACTTACCACGACGTAGCTGGCTGCCTCCAATATCGCTGTCTGAAGATATCTCTTCCAGCGATATATGCTCTATAAACAGATAGTATATAGATATATAAATATATAAGTATGCAGATTGTTCCTACCTTCTTTGTGCTCTACATCGGAATCCTCAGAGCTCTCCGTGTCTGTCGGACAACGCGTGTCTTCAATAATCGATTTCAGTCGCTTGGTTGAAACGCAAAGGAGCTCATTTAGACAAAGTTCCTCTATTTCATCCAAGCTAGTTTCCTGTAAGAAATAATCATTAACATATTCTTCTACTACTTTTATTCAGAATACCTTTAAAAACTCTGGTGCTAGATTCATGATTGTCTTTGGCTTCAGTGTGCCAAAGATTTGTTTGACCAACTCGAGACGATCATCGATGTAGTGAGAAATCGGATGAAGTGTACGATCCTCCTCTGATTTTTCTTTCTTAATGGTTATTGGCTTGGGTATTTGATCACTTTTAGCCTTTTTCTTTGAGCTGCTCATGTCGGAAATTTACAAACGAACTAAATTTAAGCAAAACAAAGTTTTTCACCGACTTTCGTTAGAGACTCCGAAAAACAAGAACAGCTGGTTATCAGAGTTGCCACACTTATTGCGTAAACCGATAGACTAGGCAACAGCTGAGTGTAAATCATTGCAAAGTTGTGTTTTGGCTTAAATTGTGAACAAATTAAGTAGCGTTTAATTTCTAATTTGAGAACAAAAGAAAGTACGTACATAGTAATAAGCAAGGATATTAAGTAGATAATATTATTTATAAGGAAATGCCGGCATCGACATGTGGCTCATGCTCGAATGGGCATTGGATAACCATAAGCATATTTCAATGTAAATTATGCCGAATGTGTGGAGTACTGAAACCATATTTTAACTATAATAAAATCAAAATTACCTAGTTTTGTGTTATCTATATAATTAAATATAATAGATTCCCTTAAAATAGTATTAAAGATATTACGTGCTGACACACGTTACTAGTTGGTATTTATCGGTTTCGCTTACAATGGTCACACCGCTCGCCATATGTTCATTAACTACAGAAGAGAGAGACGTGAGAGCGTGAGCGTCGGTAAAAATAGTTTTCCGTTTCATAAAGCGGGGCGCACCGCTAAAACAAAAATAAAACATTAGAAAAGATACAACAAGATGTGTGTGTGCAATGGTTTATGTAAATACAAAATTAAACCCAATATGTAATTCGAGGTGAAGTGTGAATAGGATCACAATCGCACTTATCAAGTATCTGTGTAAACGTACATACAAATAAATTTCCCTCTGCATGCATATTTTGACGTCTGAGCGGAGCGGAAAAAGTCATAGTACAAAGCAATTAGAATGAGCATTCCGCGTGGTGGCAACAGCGGCGGCAGCACATCGCTCGATTTAACACCGCTGCTCGATGGCAGCAACAATAGCGATGACAGCGATCAAGAAACGGGCAACAAATCAAATGGAGGCTCCCAGCTGAATTCCACCTCCAGTGTTGGGTCCAAGGAACTACGCATTAGCCACCGAGACAGAGAGCGGGAGGAAGCTGATGCGGCAATCTTTTTCAAAAAAGTTGGCAGCGCAGTTTTCTATGGCATCGCTTCGTTTATGATCACCGTGGTTAATAAGACTGTGCTCACGTCTTATCACTTTCCCTCGTTCCTCTTTCTGAGTCTGGGGCAGCTAACGGCTAGTATTGTAGTGCTTGCAACTGGCAAACGACTTAGACTGGTCACGTATCCGCCACTGCAGCGAAATACGTTTGCGAAGATCTTTCCACTGCCCTTGATCTTTGGTTTTAATATGATCTTTGGCCTGGGCGGCACGAAGGCGCTTAGCTTGCCGATGTTCGCTGCACTACGTCGCTTCTCCATCCTGATGACCATGCTGCTGGAGCTAAAGATACTGGGAGTAAGGCCGACGACAGCAGTACAGATTAGCGTTTATGCTATGATCGGTGGCGCTTTGATAGCTGCTTCCGATGATCTGTCATTTAATATGCAGGGCTACACGTACGTGATGATCACCAATGCGCTGACAGCCTCGAACGGCGTGTTTGTAAAGAAGAAACTGGACACTTCAGAGATTGGGAAATACGGATTGATGTTCTACAATTCGCTGTTCATGTTTGTGCCTGCCCTGCTGCTCAACTATGTGACGGGTGATCTACAGAAGGCCATTGAATTCGGCAGTTGGAATGATCCGGCATTTGTCGTGCAATTTCTACTCAGCTGCGTCATGGGCTTTATCTTATCATACAGCACAATACTCTGCACCCAGTTCAACTCCGCGCTAACTACGACAATTGTTGGCTGTCTGAAGAACATCTGTGTCACCTATCTGGGGATGTTCATTGGAGGAGACTACGTGTTCTCATGGCTCAACTGCATTGGCATCAACATCAGCGTGCTGGCAAGCTTGCTCTATACGTACGTCACATTCCGCCGGAAGCAGGCTCCCGATAAGCAAACCCATTTGCCTAATTCTCGAGGAGAGAACGTCTAGTCGAAGACTATCCATAGAGAGAGCCTGCTGCCAAAGCCATAAAATTTTCATGTAGAGCATCGAGCAACGCCTAGACTAGAGAACAAACATTATAACAAAGCACACAATGTTAACTTTAAAACACTAAATTGTACATATGTAGTTATGGATTTAAATATTATACATGTATATATATATCCGCAGATATATATATATATGTATTTATATGCATATATGTAAGCACTTATGTTATTTAAATGTCCTTGTAAATTCTTATCACACTCGCGCAATTAATTATGTTAAAGTGTCATAAAACAGCAACACAAACCCAAACCTCTACATACATAATAGTTAATTGAATATATGTCTAAATATATATATATATAAATATATATATGTAAATATATATACATAAATATATATATCGATATTTATGTGTGTGTTTTTACACCTACACAAAAAAAGATACAATTTGTTCCATTTCAAATAAATTTAAGATAAGATTGTCTATTGATAAGAACTGAGAACTCCGGCAGTGCAAATGCTCTTACAGGTTGCTTAGTTTAATTTATTGTTCAATTATGAGAACAACTTTACATTTTTGCTACCTGTTCGAAATATTTCGAGTAAATATTTTTCCACATGTCTTGAATTTATCATGAGCTCCACGCTTTGTTTGACTTATTTTAAACATATGTGTTTTTCTGGTTCTTTATATATCTTTTTCGGAGTTGAAACATATAATTTACCTACACAAACTTAAATGTCTTCCAAAATTTCGACCAATCAATCCCTTCTAATCAAGCCAATCCTTTCTAATAATAACAACTCTTATCACTAGAAGTAATTATTGATAAATGTTATTGTTTATTTCTCAGAACTTTAACTGTGTCTAATTAGTTTGCCAATCAGTAACTCTACATCGTTAAGCGTTTTTTAATAAATCTCTCTTATTGCTTTCTATGAGAATATTCTGCTCTCAAGCAAACCAGAAGAAAACGGAAATGCTTAACCCTACCAAATCTAGGCAGCCCGCTGATAATTCCCATTTATTTTATTTTTTTCGTTCTGTCATAACTGTTGTCAGCTTGTATTAAACGCTTATCTCTGGGTCTGCAGTAATTCTTATCTTCTTTAAATATAGCTAAACTACACATATTTCTTTTTAATTATGAATATTTAATTCTTATCTTAGAATGTTTTCACGTGTTACTTGTCCAAATTACTCAGCAGTTAGCAAAAGGAAGGGGAGAAAAAATAATAACAAAAGTTGATAGGTACAGAGGCCGGGTTCAGCGTATTTTCGAAGGTTCAATTGTGTTTATATAAACAAAAAGTGGAAGCAAAACCGGTTCCCAACTTTTAGCTCGTCTTTCTGAGTCTTAAACCGTTTGCGGGGCAGCAATGCTTATTTACGAATCTTTTCGACTTGGTCTACAGACAAATTGTCTAAGCAAAAGGGGGCCTAATACTATGGAGGGGCAATTCAGGGTCGCGTTTATGAGCCGAGTCACCCATACATAATTAGTCAGTGAATCGCTGGTGATGAGGTCAACAGCTCGAGGCATCTATTGTTAACGTCACTTAACCATGTTTATCCGCAGCAATGATGCAGCAGCTAAGGCGAATCTCATTGCCTCGCTTGCAGCGCAGCTCGACCTTGAGCCTGTTGAGTAGATGCAGACGCTCAACGTCCACGGATGCTCCTACTGAGGAGCTGGATGCCTTTGAGCGTGACTACTTGAAACAACGCATAGAGATAACAACATTCCAAAGGCTGTTACTGGGTGCCGGCTCTTCCATAGCCTCTTTACTTAATCCACACAGGTGGGCTACATTTATATGGCTGTATAAGAGGATCGCAATAAATATATTTTTCGCAGACATGATATGATTGCCTGCCTAGGCGAGACAACGGGTGAGAATGCACTCTGGAATATTTTGGATACCATGCAGGCGAGTGAGGAAGGGCGCCGCATCCTGGTCGACAAGCCACGCATCAATACCAAAACCATTGACTTAAACGCTTTGCAAGCGTTGCCCTCGGATTCATTTGGTTTTGCCTATGCCAAGTTCTTGAAAGATAACGTAAGCTGATCTGATGTAATTACTGTATATATAAAGTATGTCCCACATTTCAATATAGAATGTGACGCCTGATACGCGTATGGAGGTTCGTTTTCTAGAAGATCCAAAACTGGCCTATATAATGACGCGATATCGCGAATGCCACGATTTAGTGCACGCTGTACTGGATATGCCAACAAATATGCTCTGTGAGGTGACAGTCAAGTGGGTAGAAGCTCTGAACAACGGACTGCCCATGTGCTATGGGGCAGCAGTGTTTGGGGCGGTGCGGTTGCGACCTAGGTGAGTTGGCCTTCAAACGTTAACTAAATACACAACACAAAACGAGTGTTTTTTTTGCTCACAGACAACGTCGAGAATACTTGAAGCGTTATTTGCCGTGGGCCATCGAAAATAGCAAGCAAATGAAGCCACTAATGCCGATTTACTGGGAGAAGCGTTGGGAACAAAAAGTGAATGACTTACGCGCCGAATTGGGCATTAAACCGTTTCAATAAAGCTTCTATTATTTAGTTTTGATTTTGAATTCGATAAGTTTTTGTTGAAAAGTGCGGGATATCGATCATAGTCGATCGCTAACGATAACAACGATCATCAGAGAAAATTAGATGGCAACGCCTTGTGTCGTGTTTGCTTTGCTGATGTGTTGTTAAAGCGCTAATGGCTAATTATTTATTAAAATTACAATATGGCTGAAAAATTTAATGGATTTAGCCACGATGAGATACTTAAAATAACAGGAATAAAGGACGGCAAAAGACTCAATATGGAAGCAGGTAAATATTGAGTTTGCTGGAGAGTATTTCTCACGTTTTATGACGTATGTATGTGTGTGTGTGTGTGCTAAACAAAACAATTGTTATACATGCATAAACATATGTATATGTATATATGTGCATACATGAATATTTTTAGCAAAGCAAGCGCTCAAAAGCCAGCCCGGCATTAGACGGATGCCGGATAAGATCTTCCGGCAGGCAGATCAATTGCGAAAACACCAGCAGCAACAAAAACCACAACAAATTGTTGCTGACAAGGTCAAATCACATTCAACCACGCCCACAGAACCGGAACCAAAAAAACCGCCTACTCCCACACAAAAAGAAGAATCACTAAACTTGGAACGTGGCTTATCTGATTCGCTGGTTGAAGCGCTGTATTGTGGTTCCGTTAAAACGCCAATGACAAACGGAAAATCTCTGCCAGCAGCTGGAGCTGCCACGTATGCGAGCGAGACGACGGATGATAGCTCAATATTGAAGGTAAACAGCACAGACGATGACTCCAGCATCTTGCCCAGCACCAAAGATTCAACGGAAGAGCGAATCAGCACGGATTCCCCCTTCAAGGGTATATCGCTTAAGGACTTCGAGCAGCATCGTAAGATGATTCAAGAACAGAACAAACAAAAGAAAGAAATGCTCTACCAAGCGATCGAGCAACATACGCAAAAAACGGCCGCTGAATCACGTAAAATCGAAGAGATACGTCACGAACTCTCAAAGCTGGAGAGCGATTTGGCCGTGGATGTTGCACTGCTGCGCAAACAGATTGACAACGCATGCATTCACTTTGCCAACGTTGAGTAAGTTATCGACAGAAATTAAATTTAATTAAATTTCAATAGCTAATTCACTGTTTATTATCAGAAAACAGTATGTACGAATCGAGGCTCAATTTCTAAAAGCAAAATTGGATCTGCACAATGCTTCCGAGAAAAAGGAACTGCTCACGGAGCATCTTTGCACAGTTATAGCCCACAACGAGGATCGCAAGGCACAAAAGTTGACGGAACTAATGCAAAAAGTGGGCCTGGCGCCAACGGAAGACGAGCCAGCGTCCGAAAAATAATCGAATATAGCGAATTTGTATAAATTCCATTTGAAGCGAAATTAACTTGCTTAGATATTAGCATTGATATTAGCATGTGCATGTTTACAAATACACATATATGTTAGGTTTTTTTTAGTTCTAAGCATAAAGTTCAAAATGCAATAATTATATGTAATTCAAAATGTTTTTTCCTGTTATTTTCAACAAGCTGGCAACGTGACAGCTCTCATACTGCAACCCTGGTGTAAACAGCTGGCTTCCAGTGGTTGGAAATGTGAAATAAACGCGTGCGAGTTTTGAAACATAAACAATCCTTTAATTTTTAAATTATAAGAGAAAGAATTTAGGATGGCTGGACGTGGGCGTGGTGGGAAGACAGGATCGCTCACTGCCGAGCAGATGCAGGCGCTGGGTTGCATGGGCAAAGATATGCCACAAGTGCAAACGGCGCCGCCTCCAACATTTCCAGCGCTACTCAATAAACCAATTTGCCTTGAGGTAAACGGAAATTGAAGTTAAATTAAACGATTCGAGATAAATAGTTGGCTTCCTTTTAGACGACTACCGCACAGAACTATCAGCTGCTGTGGAAAGAAGACTTTTTAAATCGCATGCGCGATTCACCATATTATATCGTGTCAGCCAGCCAGGAGAAACAAAAAACCAGCGTTAAGGATTGGCGAGAGGTAGGAGTCAAAATATCAATAGCTACATCAGCTAAATGTTAACATTACAGAAAGCTTTGGAGCGCCTTAAAAATAAGGCACAGCCCGAATTTAACTACAAAGCAATGCCAAGGGAACTAAATTCCAATTATCGCAAACGAAAAGCTGATCCACGACCCAAGGTGCTGGCCAAGAAGACAAACATTGAGGATAGACTGAAACAGCTGGAGCAGAAGGAGCTCAAAAACGGCGGTGAAAACGAAAATGATGAAGTCAAGCGGGAGAGCGACTCAGAGCACGACGACGAACCAGAAGATCCAGAAGCAGCGCTCGATGATGAGATGGACGAGGAGAACGACTATGCCAACGATTATTTCGATAATGGCGAAGCGTACAACGAAGAGGATGATAATATGGACGATGGTCCCGTATATTAAGCAAAAAATAAACAATATTTGGGATAGTGATTTACTGATTCGCCACTTTAAGCTTATTTAACACATAATTATCTGCAATATACGTGATTAGCGAATATCTAATCCAAGCTTCTGGGAGGGCTGTAGTTCAAGTGTATCAAGCCCGAAGATTTCACCTGCAAAATTAAGTGCTTTAGTTATGATTTAAACTGGAAGCGCATGTTACTTACAAAGCCAATTGTGCCAGCCAGAACCAGAATTCCAGTCAAGAGGGCGGCATTATATTTGGTGTTATTACGGCTATGTTGCTCCTTCCAGTCACCAGCTGGTACAGGCAAATCGTTCATGGTGGAGTGTTGATGGTGTCCACCATGGTAAGCGGCGCGCGACATGGCACCAGCTGACAAAGAAGAACACAAAATTATACTCAATAAACACAAATTTCCATGACGCAGGAGCGACACATTATGTAATTTTTAAGGTTAGTAAATGCAGCTCAAAACAAGTATATAAGACTTTTTCTTACCATTTCTGAACAGCAGACCCTGCTTGACAATGTGCTTGACCAACATGTTTGCTATATAATTGCACAAAATATACAAAAAAATGTTATTTTTCCCGATATTTTTCTTTGCACTAAAACTACTCACCAATAGTTACTTATGTATCGACAAGTGTGGCTGTATGCAAGCGTTGCAAAAATACTGAACAACGTTAAGTTAGCTGCGCGCAATTTTCCTACTCACATGAAGTTGGCTGCACATTGGTGTGTGGCGGTGGCTCATCGAACAGCTGTTTTTGGCGGAGGCGTTCTTCAATTTGGAAACAATTATAATTGTTGAAGTAATTGTAAAGAAAATTTACGCTGCCAACATTCCGTAGCCATGCTGACAATCGGCACTTTGGCCAACATCAAGCACATACTGCAAAAAGAGCTGTTCAACAGCAGCGGCGAACGGCTGCTCTCTGTGGTGACGGTGACGAAGACTTTCAAAAAGAAAGACAAGCGGGCCTGCTACCTATGTGTGCTGACGACAGCGCCACCCGTGCCGGTGGTTACGCTCTGCCTGGTGAAGCAATACGAGCAGCGGGACAGCGAGTACAAGCGCAAACGTAGCTGGCAGTTGGACGAAATCAAGTGGATCGATGGTCGCAACGAGCAGTTCGAGACGCACGAGTTTGACATCCAATTAGAAAAGCTGTACAAATGGTACGCCCTAAATTTGCATGAGCGTCAGAATTTCCTCGCTGTGCTCAATCGGCAGATACAAAAGTCTGTGCGTGGACCACGAGCCGAGTTTCGTAATGTGCCGCAGGCTTGGCTATCGGAGAAATCGCCAGAAAAAATAGCGGCAGGACGTGAAGGAAGAGCTGGCAATGTCACCCAGAAACCGGCGAATACAGATGATGAGGAAGACGAGGAAGAGGCGCAAGAGTTTACAGCTCTCACAGATAAAGAGGCCAACGAGCTGGGGAAATTGTTTTCCGAGTGTGACTTTGCCATTAAGGATGCGGAGCAGTTCATTGAGCAGCTGTCCAAGGAGCTACACGACTTGGATGGTGTAAGTAAACTTAAATACACCTGAAACAAAGCTAATACTTCTTCGCATACCTACAGGCTAATATGCAAAGTGTGCTGGCCTCGGAGCAAAAGGTGCTTAAAATGATGGAGCACATAGACAATGCTATAACCGAGGCGGACAAGTTTGAAACACGCCTGGATACCTATGAGGATATTTTAGGCCATGTAAAGGAGACCATGGAGAAAATAGGCGGCAAGAATGCCATGATCGAAATTGCCAATAACAACAATATCAAACTAATGAAGGAACTCAACAAAGTCATTGTGAGTATTAAAATCTTCATTGAAGATTTATATTAATCCTTATTTCTGATTGCTTTTAGAGCCAACTGGACTTGCCGCATAGCCAGCAGCAGGCGCTGGATGAGCCCGATCTGAAAACGGCTGCCGGACGCAAGGCAGCAATTGCTGCAGCTCAATGTTTGCAGCAGGCCATGAATAGCGATATAGATCCAGCGCTGCTACGTCTGGAAGCTGTGCAAGATCAGCGCAAACGTTTCGAGAAGTGGAAACAAAAGTTTTCGGCCACTGTTAGTCGGTTCATGAACAACCTCTTCATACATCTGGGCAACGAGATTGGCGACATGCCGTTGACCAGCACCGAATTGGTGCTGCCCAACCACTCCAATGTACATCGCGAGTTGACGCCATATACGGAACTGATGCACTGGTCCAAGGCCATGGATCGCAAGACCTACGACGGACTGATGCGTGTCTATACGGCTTCCCTAAGCAAGATCTATGATCGCGATGTTAGAAATTTCTTTAATCTAGTAAGAATTTCTTTTACAAAATCGGTATATTCCACGTTAAAGTCTGGCTCCTTTTCAGGCCAAACTTCAAGTGTCTGACAAGCTGCGAAACTCTCGCGAAGATCTGGATATGTCCACATCGTCACGCAAGTCTGCTGTCTCAACCATTCCTTATGGCACGCTGGGCATCAATCGTGATCAGTGGGGTCCTGGTGTGGATAGTGCGGATCGTGTGCGCTTCGATGCGTTATTGGAGAAGGTTCTGGCCGAGCTAGAGCCCATTGCGCTGCAGGAGCAATTGTTCTGCATCAATTTCTTTCAAATGGATGTGATAAGTCCCACAACGAAGAACACACAAACGACGCTTGATATGGAAAAGGATAAGGGCATGGATATGTCGCAGTCGTTTAACGCCTCTACGGCCTCGCCGACCAGCGCGGGCACAGAGGCTGGTGCAGTGCCTCAGAAGCGCATAGATCGTCAGATCAATGAGGACGTACGCAAACTGATGATGGGACTCTTTAGTTGCCTGGAACCTGAGCTCGTTAGCTTCATACAAAGCTTTGAGCGAGTGGATAGCTTGTGAGTCACCTATGAAACATATAAAATGTGAATCTTCTCTAACCAAATCTCTCTCCAGCTATTCTCTATATGTGCTGGTGCGTTTAACGCAGCACGTCATGTCCGCTCAGGACACACATTCCTTTTTGAGCATGACCTTTGCATCGGCGTTGGTGCAGGTTAAGCGCAACTTTGATCGCTTCATGCAGCAGCAACTGCAGTCGATTAAGGAGGCTAAGCTTCCAAAGCGTTCGAAGGCCATTCTGCCCTATGTGGAGAACTTTGAGAACTTCGCACAGACGGCAGAAGGCATCTTTCGGAAATCGGATCGTCGCACGGATATGGAGAAATGGTACCTGCAACTGGTTCATGCGATATTCGAAGGGATTAGCATGCACTCGCAGGAGCATCCAAAGACGCCATCACAGGTGGTGCGCATGGAGAACTATCATCATATGTACGCACTGCTGGCACAGCTGAAGGTTCCAGGCTTAGATGCACTCAAGAAGGAGGCAAAGGTACGCTACAACGATGCACTCAAGGCTTATGTAACGCAGTACTTTGGCAGGCCACTGGAGAAGCTGAATGTAAGTGGCTTAGATACTAGTGTTAAAATGTTTCTAAAACTCTTCCCAATTTCAGCAATTCTTTGAGGGCGTGCAGCAAAAGGTGGCGCAGGGCGTTAAGGAAACGGAAATAAGTTACCAAATGGCCTTCTCTAAGCAGGAGCTGCGTAAGGTGATCAGCCAGTATCCAGCGCGTGAAGTGAAAAAGGGTTTGGAGAACCTCTACAAGAAAGTGGATAAGCACCTGTGCGAGGAGGAGAATCTTCTGCAGGTGGTGTGGCATGCCATGCAGGAGGAGTTCATAGCCCAGTACAATTATCTCGAGGAACGTATACAGAAATGTTATGCGGGCGCCATGATCAATCTGGAGTTCAACATACAGGACATACTCGCCTTCTTCTCTGATATTGCGCGCTCCCACTGAGTGTACGGTATATCAGAGATTTACTTTTAAGTGCAATAGTATTTAGAGCGATGTGTTTTTTTAAGTGAAAAATATACGCGCACATATTTAAACAGCTGATTAGAGTTCAAAACTACAAAAGAGAGACAAAGAGAAAGAGAGCTGCAGATTGAAGCTTCCAACGCAAGAGAGCATTTTACGTAAGTGAGAGCAACTCACATAGCAGTTGTCGCTGTTGTTCTGAGACCAGCTTTTTAGCATCAGTCAATTTGCGCGCTTCGTTCCGTGCGGTTGGTTGGTCTGCGCGATTGTGTTATTCGTTTCTTAACCACTCTCGTGTCTACGCTCGCTTGCGTGCGTGTGTGTGTGAGTGTATAAGCGCGCGCGTATTGTGATATGCAAATGATAATTGAAAAAGCCGCGATCGAATATAAATTGGCAGCAAACGGGGTGCATATACTTATTGCTCGACTGTGACTGGCTCAAAAGTGCCATACAGTTTTGGCCTACACATAGTCGGCGGATCCTTTACGTTGACGTCGCGGGCGGCGCAGGCGTTGCCTTTGCCTTTGCCTTTAGTCTCCAACAACAAAGTAAGCGACCAGTTCGACTAGTTTTTTGTGTTGCCTTTGCATTTTTTATGCACACGCTTTTGTTTTTTTTTTGAGTGTTCCTGTTCTTTTTTATTTTTCGTTTGCATACAAATGCACGTAGGCAACTAAAGCAAGAACAAAAAGAATACGAAGTAGAAAAGCAACAACGTCTTAGTCGTTTCCTTTCTCTGCCTCTTTGCTAGCTTCGTTTAGTTCTGGCAGTCATCAGTTGCTGTTATTGTTGTTGCTATTGCCCTTGTTGTTGTACTAGCTGTATTTTAAATTTTGCTAAAAGCTGGCCACCTTGATAAGCCGCTGGCAGGTCCAACTTGCTGGCAACCTCAACCAAGTTCAATGCTGTTGCAATGCATTTTCAACTTCCGCTATGCGCCCGCGGGTCAATAAACATTAATTAGTTGCTTACCACGAACAAAAAACTAAAGAACGTGCACAAGATTTGGCTTGACTTAAATGTGTGTGTGTGTTAAAAAATAAGGCAGGCAAAAAAACACTTTAAGGTTATGTGTCATAAAAAAGCATTGTGCCTAAAATCTAAATAAATTTTATATAGCCCAACTGTAGAGTAAACTATTAAATTATATAGGAAAATCTTATTTAAATTGAAAAATATGAAAATTCAGTTTAATAGGTATATTAAAAGTACAATGAAGAACTTTACTTGCTTTAAATATCCCTTGAAATTACTTTTTTAAATTTGGTCTTATGCAAGGGAAATTAATTTTATGATGACTCTGCGAAGTTGTTATTAATTACATTATTATTTATTTTTCTATAGAAAAAATAGATTCTATAATAAATAATATCTTGGATTTTTTATAATTAGCGTAGAATTACATACATATTTATACCTTTATATCATTCCAAATTAAATACGTTGATGCGTTTTGTGCTTATCATATTAGACGATTATTAAAAATAATAATAATAATAAGCATGTATACACACATACACATACACTCCCATATATACATATATAGACACATGCAAAAGTAAAAGCACAAATATGTTGAGCTCTTGCATTATAGAAGTAGAACGTACTTGAATTCATGAGAATCGCAGAGAAGGCAACGCTTTTACAGAATTTATTGGCAGTGTAGTGGAAAGTAAATTTTTTATGTGTACAGACACAAACACCTGCACACTCTCGCACACATATTTATATATTCTAATTAAAGTTAACTTTTTAGTTAGAATAAAACTCAAACAAATACTTTTAGATAAATATTGGCAATTTTTGCACATTGTGCTCTGTGTGTAATTTC